GTGTGTGTGTGTGTGTGTGTGTGTGTGTGTGTGTTTCATGTTTGCTTTCTTCTTATGTAATTTAAGAGGAAGCTAGGAACTAATGATGTTGTGACTATTCTTAACACTAAAAAAGCCCTTTTAATCTGCATTGCTCAAAGTATTTAATAGAAGGAAGCCCTATAGTAGAATGTCTTGTATCAGAGAAACATGGATTTAAACCCTTTAAAAATATGCAGGCTTACTAAGGCAAAGATATAACACCTGGCGGTTCCCAGATCTCATCGATATTGTTTTATTTAACAATTTTTTCCCTTCCACAAGTGCAGCCACTTCTGCCCCTGTAATAGCATATAGTCTAATAGCAGTTAATTATGGCCATCAGTCAAGAGCACTTTGGCTTACTATTTTGGTGGCAAGAAAAGAGTAATGGTTTTACACCTTTCTTGGAGCTGACTCATAGTGATTTGGCTATAGCTGTAGGTCACCAGATTTCATTTTCCAGGGTTCCAAATAAATAACAATTTTAAAATGAGACCAATTTTATTTACGTTTTAGGCCACGTGGATGAACGAACAGTATGTAATGGAATCGCCCCAGAAAAAGATGTAGATGGATACCATATTATCAACATTGGAAGACTGTGCCTTGATCAGCATTCTCTCATACCTGCAACTGCCAGTGCTGTGTGGGAAATAATCAAAAGAACAGGTTGGTAACTTGTGGTCTGCGGGACATGGGTGGTAGGCACTGAACTGAACATTTGTGCATTGCCCTGATGGAAACACCTCAGTCCTATAGCATGACAGAAAATGATAATCCATAAAACTTCAGTCTGTAGGAAAATATAAAGTTATAAGAGTCAAAAAATACTCCAAAATAAAATAAAATGAGGAACGTGTGCCAGGTTACAGATAACTGTTGCAACTTGTAGGGAGTGAATTTTCCAAATAGTAGTTGTGTCTGCCTATTTTTAAATTAGAAACTTAGTATTTTGATGAAAACCTTTCCAAAATCTATTATATTTTTACTTACCTTTAAAAAATGTGCTGATCATGTATGAACAATTTCTGTTGACTTCGGTTTTCATTATAAACATTTACCTTGTACTGGGCTAGACACTCTGTATGCTCTCGCAGGCTCTTGAGGTGTGTGGAGATGTTCACCCCTGCGTCCACTGACTCCAGATCGCCGTGTGTACTGGTGATGTCCCTGCCTTCTCCGCTGTCAGTTCCATTTCTGCCCGCATCTTCTTTCTAATCTGTGTTTTCTAACTGAAGGAGACAATTTCCAAAGGAAAGCAGATCCTAGAATCATACTCTTAGAATGTTCGTGCTTGGAAAAATCTTAGTTCTAACTTCTTCATTTTACTTAGAAGAAACTGAGCCCAGAAGAGGTAGTGTTAAATCTGCAGACTTTATTGTTCACACCCTCTGAGTCTGTAAGTTTAGTAAATTTAGTGCTTCCTTACTATGGAGGAAGGTGTAGGAGTTTTTTGAAAAATGCCTTTTTTCCCTACTTCATTTTGTCACAGCTTTGCTCAAAGTTTGATTGCCAATTAAGTTTGACATTATTGTACATTGCTTACTTTATAATTAGTAGTTAATATATTCTAAGCCTCTGAACTTCTAACTTTTCATGTGAATCTCAGTGCTTAAAAGTAATTTAATAGAAACTTGACAATACTTGTGGTTTTTTAATGAGGACATAATTGGAGAGGAAGTGACAAATCCAAGAAGTGTAAAAAGAATTATTTATTAATAATGAATTGGGCACATTATAGACAAGCCACATAATAATCCACATTTAATTAGAAATTTTTAAAGAATGTTTCAGTTGGCTGTTCAAATGCTTAATTTTCTTCTTGTGGATTCTGCACTTAAATCAAACTCTGTTTTTTAAGGAATTGAAACATTTGGGAAAAATGTGGTTGTGGCTGGAAGATCCAAGAACGTAGGGATGCCCATCGCCATGCTCTTACACACCGACGGAGAGCACGAACGGCCGGGAGGTAGGTAGGACCTTGCAGATTCTGTTACTCTTGACATTTTCTCACTTTTTACATCATCAAGTAAAGACTTTTGATAATCAACTTAGCATTTGTGTGTTTATGCAATTAAAGGTTTCCTTTATTCTTCATTTAATGACATGAAAGCCTTGAAAGTCAATAAAAGAATTACTGAAAACATGTGGCCCCTTTGTTCCCATTTTTTCTTTTGGCTGTATACACTTTCTTTAAGTCCTTAACACTACAGACATTAAGAAAGCTGAAAACCACTAGATACATAAAAATCTCATGCCTAAAAGAATAGAAAACAAAAACCCAAACCTTGAATTGTTGGATGTAGAATTCTTAGAATGACAAAGTCTTAGTACTTTAGAGGTCAGCTAGTTAGTTCATTTTATAGACAAGGAAGCTGAGGCTTAGAGTTGTTAACTGATTATCTAGGTTAGATAACTAGTCATTGAATTGAAAGGAGTAGTGACACCCCAAGTCACTGAGAAAGCCCAGCAAAATGTGATGGTGTTTGAAAACATATGGCCATATTTTCCAGGTGCTTGTCATCTGAACGTCATCCTAAGACCTTGGTTTTTTCAGTGGTCTAATAGTTTGATGCTGAGCAGTTCCCCAGGGGTGGGAAGGAAATCCAGCAAAGAGGTACAGGGGCATTTTTCATGGTTGCCTCAGCCAGTGCTGTGGGCAGAGGGCACACGGGTTACTCAGCTCATCACTGCCTGCTAAGTTCTGCATCTTGTTCTAACATAGGTAAAAGGTCAAGTTCATATTCTTAATACAGTAGTTATTGGTCTATGTATGTGCTAGGGATTTTTACTACTTTCTTTATCATTTACTGTGCCTAAGCTTTTCCCCCCTAATCTTTGATACAGTAAGGTCTTTATTGTTTTCTTTAATTCCAAATAAGAGGGAAGATACGTTTTTTTCTTTCTAATATTTAACCAGTGTGATAGACACCTACATGCTCATGTACAACACACACACACGCACATGTATGCATACACAACACCACATATAGATATATAGATTTCTAATCATTCTTAACCTTCGTGAATTCCACTTTCCTGATCTCAAATTTTCTATAATACTTGTTTTAGGATCTTGGTTGACATAATGCATATGAAATAATTTTTTAAAACACAAAGCCCTATGGAAAAATAAACCTACTCATATCTAAAATGATGAATGATGAAGCTTTTGAATATTATTTTTCCTTTCTGTGCCTAAAAATTTAAATATTGCCAGAAATCAATATGTGCATGTGTATCATAGTAAATTAGAACCTCATAATGCCTCCAGGTAACTTTGAAAAGCTTTAGTTTTTGAATAGCTATTTTAAAGGCCAAACTGGTAGTATGACTGTTTTCATGGTATTCATCTTCAAAGCTGCATTCCTAGTTTCATGATTTACTTCTAGCTTAATCTATTACTAATCTAAATCTCATAGGGTATAGTAAAGATATTGATTCATATTTGACTTTATGTAATAGTTTCTACATTAGGCAACGTAAAACAATCAGGAATGTTTACCTAAGTTAACTACTTTTCTTGGGAAGTTTGGACCAAGAGCCAATAAGCAATTATTTCTTCATCTTCAACATTTTATTTTCTTATCTCGTCAGTAATATGACAAGCAGCATTATGTATCTCCATGATTTGCTCAGTACTTTCTCATAAACTATCTTATTTAGTTCTCAATAATTCTGGTATATATTAATGTTATTCCCATTTTATACTAAAGGAAATGAGCTTTAGAGACTTCAGAGAACATGTTCAAGTGCATACAAGGAAGTAGGATTCCAGAACCGGGAGCTGGGTGCTAACTTTGAGGTTAGAAGGATAGACAGGGAGTCACACACCTTCATTGCCAAATCCTGTGACCTTGGGCAAGTCATCTAATTTGTGTAGGCCTCTACTTTCCTCATTTGTAAAATGACAATAATATTAACATCTCCTTACTTGGTTATCGTGAAAATTAAATGAGGTTACGGATATGAAGTACTGATAACAGTGTCTGACATATAGTAAGTTAAGTAAGCTGTTGGTACATATAGCTGTGGCTATTACTGTTATTTTCATTATTGTGCTTAAGTCAATAATCTGTACTCATGCTAACCATAACGTGTGAAGTAACATAATCTGAGGTTAATGTGGTAATTTTTACTTTTATTTGAAATTTGATTTTCTTTTTCTGGTGCATTTTGTATTTGCTTTTTTGGGATCATATCTAGTCTTTTTTATAATACTTTGAATAAACTCAGAATTTATAAAATCTAATTAATTAGAAATGTGACATCATTATTCTCCACATAGAACTTCTACAATGCACATTTTTGGTAGGAATCAGTAATTGTACGTTAATTTCTTGGTACATTTCAATTTTGAATTATTTATTTGTCTATAAAATCTCTAAGAAAATTAATTTTCCTCTTCTTTATGCAGTTTTAAATTAGGTAATACTATGTCATAAAATGTGTTATTTTTTATCATATGTGGGTTATTTGTAGACATATGCATATGTAGTAAAAAATATTAAAGCAAGCATGAGAAAGAAATACAAATTGATGGTAGCAATGACTTCTGGGGAAAGAATTGTAGGGTAAGAACATATTACTTTATAAAATATTTTATACTTTGTAATATAAAATATTCTCACTTGAATATGTGTTAAAAATTGAAATAGGAATGAAATTAATTGTAATATTGGTTATTTACAAGCCAGATAGTTAAAGTCACCTTTATCATAGTGGTACTTAGGTGCCATTATAATTGCAATATCTAAAAGGTAACAAATTATACTAAAAATGAAATTGGAAGGTTTGCAATATGGGTAGTGTTTAATCTTATTTAGGAGTGTGCTGTCATATATTATTCATGTAATGAATCGTTGAGAACTGCTTACTGAAGATTTGGAGGCTGTGGGAAAGTCAATCTTTCAAATGTCCATGTCTGTTAGAGCAGCAATTATGTGTGGTGACAATTAGCATTGTTAGCTAATAGAGATAATGAAGGAGGATTAACTCAGCAAATTCATATCTATAGAACTTGTAATAATGACACTCAAAATGTTGAGTGTTCAGCTCACACTGTGTATTTCTTGCCAGAATACACTCAGAACCCTAATGGTTCATTTTTGTCTTAAAGCCAAAGATAATTGCACTAGAGGAAAAACAGCCATACTATAATTTAGCTTGATTAATATGTATCTATTCATGGCTAGCTTTTAGTTTTGATATTAAGGACATGGATCCCAGCTTTTTTTTTGAGACAAAACTTTTTATTAATTCCCTGAGGGCTTAAAATATTTGGAGGAGTGAGAATGTGCTAAAACGTTGAAGTACAGGGACTTTGCTGACACTCAACATGGCAAGGAAGCGAGGAAGGGGGTCGCCTGCTGCTGAGGACCGGCCACCACAGAGGCTTTGCAGAGGACCTGGCTTTTGAGCCACTGTGCAGTTTATAGAGAGCAGGTGACAGATGATTCCTGTCCTCCCAAAGCTAGTCTTGGTGGTGGTGATGGGATGCAAGGGGACATGATATACAAGTATTGGCGATGCAAATTATAAATATTCAGTGGCACAAAATAAAATGTGGCATCCCTTGGCAAACATTCTGGGCACTTAGGGAAGTCCATGATTGCTTGAGGAAGCCTGTGGTTAATTAAGGTAACATAAGGAGATTGACAGTGGAGGGTCTCTTCTTATGAGCCCCACTAATTATTAGGATGTTCGAGTATCATTGTGACCACCTATAGATCACCGTGTGCTCTTTTAACTTCTTTGTACGTAGTAACTTACCTGAATACCACTTGCTTTAGGACGAAGTCTTTATTTTCAGTTTTACCATGAGGAAATAAGAGAAAAACTCTCCAGTTTTTCTAAAACAGCTTTTTCCCTTCAAGATAACAAGGTACCATAAGGACCAAGGCATTACGTGTGGTTACTAATTGTCATGAGAGGAATTCACAACCTGATGTTATTTCAAATTCTTTTAGAGTAAGCACCTCTCTACCTACGTATTTTTATTCTTATGCAGGACGTCTCATCAAAATAGGTCCCCTTAAATGGCCACAGCATGGGTTGCATGCTGCTCCTTTAACTGAAAGGTCGTGGCATCATTGTGGTGGCGTTGATCCTGGGACCATTTTTAAGGAGTATTTTGGTAGGGCCAGCAACCAGCTGATTTTGCTTTGAGTCCTGTGGGCCCTGTGATACTCTTGATTTCTTTCAGCCAGTAATCATCTAGTACTTACCCTCTGTGAAACTGTGGCATACGGCAGGGAACAGCGCTTAGTCCTCTCTGTTCAGAAGCTGACGGTCTGTATCTTCAGGACTCATCTTTGCAAGGAGTGTTTTCTTAAAGCACTACAATGGCATTCACCTGTCACACTCAAGCTGTCCTGCCGCTGCAACTCTCTGTGTCCCAGCCACTTTTTTTTTTCTTCAAGAGGCACCCTATCTACGTGGAAAACCACAAGGATTTTTGCCAGCTGAATGCCTTTTCTTTGTGACAATTGACTCCAGTTGTGAAAATGAACGTTTTTGCCAGCCTGGGAGCATTATCTCCCACCTACAGGGGGTGATAACACAGTAATGGGTGCTTGAGGCAGTGCAGCGTGATGCGAGTGGTATGTGGGATTAAGTTCAGCCCAGTGGCAGGTTGGGCCAAGCTCTCTTAGGTTTCAAAGAGAGGAGCCAAATAGGAACGCCTAGGAATGCATGAGTCACGCAAAGTGATCACACCACTGGGACCGACACTCTTGGTCTTATTGGCAGTGGAGTGGAGTGGGATATTTGCTGCCTCTGTAGTAGGAACCATTGTCAAGCTGCGGCAGGGAGGATGACAGGCATTTAGTCTCTGCTACTCCCATCCCACCACCCCCAGGTTGGAAGTACTCATCACAAGGTTTTGGGGACATTGTGTTTCGTGATGCCTCTGTGTTAATTAGCTGAATTACGACTTCGAGTGTGGACAGTAGAAGACAGAAGAAAAGA